ATTAACCTAAGTGATCATTCTATCACAGAGAATACAGTGATACCTTAAATGATCCTATATATGCTGACTCGGTCACCCGCCCCTATCCACTTCACCTACTCAAGGATATTGCTCCAGAGATTCTTCAAGGGCTCTGCTACTTCACAGTTTTCACTCTCTTTTGATCATGATCACTCTCAGCATATGAGTATGTGGTAGTTTCTATCTAAAATAGAAATGAAGATAGAATACTACCCCTGACTCCGAGTTAAGAACCACCAGCTACTGTTCCAATTATTGATTCCCCTTTCACTCTTAGATTCTTCATCCTTTCTAAACCTATTCCAGTCAGCTTCCCTGACCCTAACCCCCACCTCCACCTAAGCTGCCTGCATCCTAGTCACCAAAACCCTCCATGTACTGAATCCACTGATTCATTATCAGCCTTTCCTTAACTTGACCTGTCAGCACCATGTAACAGGTCATTACTGCTTCCTCCATGGTAACTTCTCTCTCTTGGCGTTCAGGATGGCATCTTTTCTGAGGGTTCTTCCTGCCTCACTGGCTGCTCCTTCTAGTTCAAGTTTGCTGGTTTCTCCTCTTTTCTCAGTGTCAGGTGCCCCAGGGCTCATCCTTGGTCCTCTTTCTCTGCCTGCACTTACTTCACTGGTGATCTCACCCAGGCTCATGCCTTTAAATACCAATGATATATCAATGTCTCAATTTACATCTCCATGCTAGACCTCTCTCTTGAACTTCAGGCTTGTGCATTCAATAGCTTATGTGATATCTCTACTAGCACGTTCACAGCTATCTCAAACTCAACCAGCCCAAGTTGCGCTTCCGATATGTTGGAGTCATTCTTGAATCCTTATTTCTCTCACCCGACAAATGATCCTGGAATCACAACAATCCCCCAGTCTCTGCTTTCAAACTATTTCCAGAAATCCAACACTTCCCATCACCTCCTTCCTACCACCCTTGTGCGGGCCAGCATCATCTCTCGCTGGGATTGCTGCCTCAAAGCGGGTCTCCTTTCTCCTGCTCTTGCCCACTTCTGGTGAGCCTCAACACAGCAGCCAGAGGAGTCTTTCAAAGCATAATTGATGTCCAAAGCCTGCAATGGCTCCCATTTCATTTGGAGTCAGAGTCCTCCTCTGAAAGGCCTTCCATCAATAGGCCCCCGTACTTCTCTTACCTCACTGCTTGTAGTTCTCCCCCTCCCTTTCACTTCCCACGGGGACCTTGCAGTTCCCAGAACACCCTGTCATGCTCCTGCCTGAGAGCCTTTGCACTGTGGGTTCTCTCTGCTTACATAGCCCTTCCTCCAGATATTTGCATGCATGGTTAACTCTCACCTCTTTCAGATCTTTGCTCATTAACATTGTTTCAGTAAGGCTTTGTCTGTGCACAACCCTCCCCCCAAGGCTCACAATCCCCTTCTTTTACCTACTTCCTTTTTGCAATGCAATTTATTACCTTTGGACATACTCTACAATTTACTTATTCATTTCTTAATTTTTGTTGTCTTTCTTCCTCAGCTAAAGTATAAATTTCAAAGGGAAGGACCCTCATCTGTTTTGTCCACTGATGTACTGTAAGCACCTAAAACAGTGTTCAGCACATAGTAGTCATTAAACATTTGTTGCTTACTTCTTAATGAATGAAATATTGAATTAGGTCTTTGGCTTTTCTGCCTTCCAAAGGCTGAGGCTGAAAAGTGATATTTTTGGACTACAAAGGCCAATGATGAAGTTCAGTGCATCCCTCCCCGATGGATACAGGTCCCTTCCAGTCCCAGGGACACATCTCTTGGAGTGAGAAGCCTTGACTACTTATCTCAACTTGATTCTGCTTTCTTTTTCTCTTTCCAAGGCCAAAATCACCTTCCTGGGACTTTCTATTTTCTTTTTGTCTATGGTTGAAATTGCCCTCATTTATTCCCAGAAATTCCCCCATGTTCTTAATTTCTTTGCTCAAGACTCTTTCACAACTTGACATCATAACAGGTCTTGTCATGTAACATGGAGCAAAAGAGCTGGAGAGGGTGGGTGGGGAGGGTGGGTCCGGGTGTCTGTCTATAAGGAGGAGGGTGAAGAAGAGCTGGTTGTATCATGGTCCAGGGGCCCAAGTAGCTGCTCTACAGAAGCCATATTTTGCATCTTGTTCTCATGACTTTAGGAAAGACTTCATCAATGTTTTTCTAAAATTCAGATACATTATACTTAAGGCATTAGCACAGTGCACTAAAAAATAAGACATGTTAATAAATGAGTAATTGATCTATAAACCCGTTTGTTACCTATTAAAAATAAAAATAAAACAGCCAATAAGTTTAGTTTGATATGATTATTTTTCTTGAGAGCCTTCATTGACTGATCCTGAATGACTGTAGCTTTTATTCCCCCCACCCCCCCGCCCCAGGGTTCTTTGTATACTATGTGGGAGAGGTGACTTCTCAAAGAAGGAACTGTGCTCTCTGGGTCTGTTGGAGCTCTAACTTAGAGTCGTGGGCTGAGGATGTCAACAGGATTTTATAAAAAAAAAAAAAAAAGTTTTGTATGTTTTCTAAACTAAAACCCTGACACCAGAAATGTAGCTTGTGAAGATTGATTCCTGAGCATCAGAGATTTGTTTCCATCCATGAGCCTTGCCAGACCGCATTTTTACATCTCCACCAGGCCAGTTTATTAAACTGTAGCTTCTGTTCCCAGATTTGAGTATTTCATTGTCTGCTTTGGGTTAAATTCATTACACTTTTTGGAAAGGAGTATTTTGAAGGAGTATCTTGCTAATATTTTAAAAACCAGAAGAAGTCTCGACTCCTCAGCAAAACACCTCTCAGATTAATGCTATCTTTGTAATGCTCTCGGTGGTATCATTAAAGCCAGATAAAGTGAAATTGTTCCTAAATTGTGGGTAGCTGTATCTACAGTTCTGAGCTTCCCAGAAAGTTAAGGGCTAATGAATTTTTTTAAAAGAGCTATTTATGTTTTCTTTCATAAATAAAAACAAGGGATACAAGGATGGGCTAAGAATTTCAGAGGTTTTATAGCTCATATTAACAGGTTTTTACTAATATCTGAAAAAAATATGGAGATGCTGGTATTGATTATTAACTTCAGGATACCCTGATGTGTAATAGATTGTACTACTGCCCAGCAATATCACAAGGAGTGAGGGGTGAGTGTTGGGTATGTGCCAGGAATAGGTCTCCAAAGGTAAAAAAGGGGCTAACATTTGACACTTTATCCATGTCTCATGGGCTAGCTTTTATCCCAATTATATGAGAATATTTTCATCATAGTCCAAAATACTACAAAGCAATTATATGTCTTTAAAAAAATGGACTGAGGGTTGCTGGAGTGGTGGGGGGTGGGAGGGATGGGGTGGCTGGGTGATAGACATTGGGGAGGATATGTGCTATGGTGAGCACTGTGAATTGTGCAAGACTGTTGAATCACAGATCTTACCTCTGAAACAAATAATGCAACATATGTTTTATAAAAGAAGAAGATAGTAGGAAGGGAAAAGTGAAGGGGGGGGAAATCGGAGGGGGAGATGAACCATGAGAGACTATGGACTCCAAGAAACAGAGGGTTCTAGAGGGGAGGAAGTGGAGGAATGGGTTAGCCTGGTGATGGGTATTAAAGAGGGCACATATTGCATGGAGCACTGGGTGTTATATGCAAACAATGAATCATGGAACACTACATCAAAAACTAATGATGTGATGTAAGGTGATTAGCATACATAATAAAATAAAATAAAAAAATTGTAAAAAAATAAATGCTGCCTAATTATCAAAAAAAAAGAGAAAAAAATGGGGAAAAGGTACTGATTTTGTAGAGTGTGAAAGAGGAGCTACTTCTCTCTCTAAATGTCTCCAGGAATGTTTCTGGCCCTGCTATCTGCCCACCCCCCCCAACTTGTTTGGTTGTTTTTTCCTCTCCTTGGTTTAACTTTTGCTCCATACTAAATATTTGCGTAATGCTTGTCAAAGGACCCTTCACACCAAACTCTGCATGTCTTTGTTCTGAGAAGTAAAATCTCATTTTGTTCTTATCAGCTTTACAAGTTCAAAACTATATACAAGTGTAGGAAGTGGTTTTGAAACATGCAACAGGGGATATTTTCTAGAAATTCGGATGCTCTGAAAAAACATTAGCCTTCCTAGAAAATGTTTCAGATTTTCTTTCAGTAAAATCTGAATTTTGTTCTTGGGATGAAGTGGGTGTGTGATTTTTAGAAAGCATAAGTTTGCTCAAATATTACACAATATCCTTTGTGGCATAATTCTGTACCCATAAGAATTGTATTCATCCTTTCATAAAATTTGGGGGTTTTATCTGGACTTTTTTTTAAAGATAGAAATTAAAGGCAAGAAATATTTTGGTGCTCCTTCCTCTGCACCTTACCACCCCCCATGCTATTCAAACGTGAACCATACTAAGTCATAAAATATGTCTAAAGGAAATTCTACAATGTTCTTCCTTTTCATATGATACTTCACTACTTCAAATTTTTTTTTCTTCAAAATCTGAATTGTTTTAAAACATCGTGTTGGCTTTGCAGGCGCCTTTAATACATGCTTGCTAATGTAGTGAGGTGGGGGGGTGTACTCTACGATGCGCAAGGACTGGGCGACATGGGTCCAGTATTTTTGCACTTGTTTGCATATCTCGTGAAGGAAAATAGCAACAGCCAGCTCCTCCCTGAGACTAGGGGCAGGTGGGCGGGGGAGACCCCTAGAGCCTCCCGGGAACCTTCCGGGAGCTGGAAACTGCTCCAGGAGGCAGCCCGCCCCTCCTCCGTTGCAGGCCCCGCCCCCGCCTTCGCTAGGCCCGCGGCGCGTGGGGCGGGCCGAAGGCCTCAGCCAATGAGCGCCTGCGGGCCGGGCGGGACGCGGGCCAGTCGCCCGGGCGACCAAAGTGCGGCCCCGCCCCCCGCCGCGAGCCCGCGAGCTGGGCAGTGCAGGTTACAGTGCTAGCTGCGGTCCCTGCACCGCGCGCAGTCGCGCGATGGGCAAGTGGAGCATCGGGCGAAAGCCGGGCCGCGCACTCGGACTCCTGCTGCTGGTGATCTTGAGTTTCCTGGTGCTCTGCAGGTGAGAGATCCCCGCCCCGCACCTGCCGGACTCCAGACACCTCAGCCTTCCACACCTGCAGTTTGCGTCTCCCCTCTCACCTGAGGGAGGCAGTCCCGGGAATCCGCGTCCCGCGAATCCCCACCGGGAAGGGCTATCCGGCCTCTTCTTTGTTGGGTCTGGCGTCCTTCTCCACCACTAGGCACTCTGCTCTTGCCTCGAGATCCAGGATTCCGGGTGACACTAGGTGCTGTCCTCTGCGTCTGTGTAGAGCTTCCCCACTTTCTCGAAGCTGGTGATGCCCGGGCTCTGCTTTCTTCGTGGATACACCCAGCTCTCTGCGAAGGCCAGCAGAGCTAGCCATCAGGTCTCTTTCAGATGTCCCAGATCACTGCTCCGCCCCTAGTCCTGGGGGAGCCCGCTTCTGCTGTTTTCTCGGGTCCCCACATTTCCTACCAAGCCTGCTGGGAGGCTTCTCTAGTCATCAGAAGCCAGAGCTCCAGGCTCAGAGCTATGGTCGATCTCACCTGCCCAGCGCAGTCATGAGATCGCTGTCCCTTGGGTCCTTCAAGATCCTCAACCCTGGATTTATTAGCCCCACTTCAGGATTGATATGTCTTCTCTCTCCACTGTCCCACGTTGGTCAGTCATCTGCTCACTCCTTCCCAACCCCCTTTTACAAAGTGTTATCTTTGACAAGTGGTTGTGTTTAGTGATAGAAGGACTTACCCACAGCCTGTGTGGGTGCCCTAGCCCAGAACTTTTGTAAAGTGTATCTATTTATAGGATTCTACAGTCCTGACCATGTCTTTCAGGTCTATGGCTGGCACTTTCCATATTCAAAACCTCCAGTGTTGCTGGGAAAGCAGACCAGCAGTATCAAATACTTGGGCACTGAAAGTTAAGTTCGAAGCAGGTGATGTGGAGGCAGACACACCACCCCTTCAGCTTTATCTTTTGCTTCTTCCAATCCCTTTTGTTAGTTTCTCTGACTCTCCTCTGGGAGATAGGGAAGTTTTTGATGGAGATGAATATTTGAATGTTTTTGCTGCCACAGAACACATTCAGAAACTATTTCCACCTTTTTTAAAGACATTTGGCTTTGGAGTTGGTAAGGATGTCATAATACTGTTTGAGAGAAAGAAATGGTGCTCTTCTCACTCTGGGGCCCAGAAAACTTAAGAGGCATTTTGTTTCCCGAGTTGTTCCCAAGACTTTTTTCCATCTTGTCAGTGATCTCTAATCCATTCCTCTCTGAAGACTGATCCTGGCTCTTGTAGGATGCTCAGCCTTCCTCCTGACGCAAGGCTGATGCAAAGCCCAGAAGGATTACTCAAAGCAGAGGCAACAGAGCCTCCAGCATGCAGCAGGGTATCAAGGAGCCCACACCCCAGAGAGAAAGGCCAGAGGTGTGCAAGTAGCATGTGGTTTGCCCATTGTTGGAGGTCAAGGATATGGCAGTCCATGCAGAGGCATTGAGGGGCAGCTCTGAGGGGCTTGAGTTGGGCCAGGTAGTGAACCTTAATAGTCCACAGGGAAAGGTGTGGGAAGGAGGCTGGGTGTTTGTTGGTGTCTGGCAGGAAGGAAGATGGGGTGTCAGGTAGCTGACTGGCCGTGAAGAAGCCTGAGCTTCTCATAGGTGAGTTAACCATGTCCCTACCTGAGTTGGAGTGGCCATAGCAGGAGTCAGTCAGGGGCTGATGGAGGTGCCTGAGAATAGCTACAACCCAAGCCTGAGGAAATAGTTGAAATGCTTAGTAAAGTCATTGTTGTTCCTGATATCCCTCCTTTCTCAGCAGGTAAGACAGAGGCCAGAGAAGCTCTGACCCAAATTCAGGGCCATCTCTTAGGGTACTTCAGAATATGTGTGTTTTGGGCATTTTTTAATTTTATTACCCTCATGGTATTGGGCTTTTTGCCATGGGCTGGACACCAAGGATTATCTCTGGAGGGCAGAGGAGAATACACTCTTTGTTGCTTCCTCTTCTTGCCTTGCTCTGGCTTTGACTGGATATTAACTTCGTGGGAGGTGGGGACCCCTCCCAGCTGTTGCTGGGAATGTGGATATAGCCAGTGGAATATAGGGGAATTGGGAATGGGAATTGGCTACTCAACTGGCAGCTTTGTGGAGCTAAGCTGTCAGGATCAGCCTTTTCCTGTACCTCAGAAGGCAGGTATTTGGGTAGGGAGTGCCTGCCGGGCTCCAGCTTTTTTTTTTTTCCCAAGAACTTTACCTTGGGCTGGTTCATGGTCAATCGTAGCTATTTGATTATTTCACATCCAAGAAATAGGAGGACCAAGATGACTTTTGAGGATGATTTCAACCTTTGATATTTTTTAGCTTGAACAATGGTCTGAAATTTACCTTTATTGTAGTATAATTGTCATGCAATAAGCTGTACATGTTTAGCTTGTACAGTTTGATAATGTTGGTGTATATATCCATCTGTGAAAATACCACAATTAAAAGAGTGAAAATATCCATCAGCCCTAGAAATTTCCTTGTGCCCTTGTGCATCTTTCTCTCCTGCCCTTCTCTGCTCCCCCACCCCTAATGATACTGATCTGTTGCTTTCTGCCACCATATATTGTATGCATTTTCTAGAGTTTTATGGAAGTGTAATCCTAAAGTATGTACTCTGTTTTGATTTGGCTTCTTTCACTCAGTATATTATTTGGAAATCTTTGATGCATATCAGTGGGAACCATGTCTGAGTTAGTTGCCTTTCCTCCTCCCACTCCATGGTTGCAAGAATGCCTGCTTGATATGATCAAGGCATGGTTTCCACTCATGACTCTTTTCCTTAATATAAATGCATCACTGAGCAATAATACAATGAACTCTGCATCTCTTATACCTGATATATTAGCTGGCAAAAGTCAGGAGAGGAAATTGGCCAGGTAGGTGCCCTGCATCATGCCTTCTTAAAGGCAAGTTCATCTGTTTGCCCAGCTCTACCTCACTCAGTGCTCCTACACTGGCATTATCTGGATTCTAGACCCCAAACTCTGCCTGAAGGAAAGAAGAGGAGCCTATCAAAATCTTCTTTTTAGAGAAGGTGGATGACTTAGCAACATGACCTGGTCACCTTTGATCCAAATCATGGCCAGTTCTGCCTTCCAAGGATGTGTGGGCAAACTGTTCCTCCCTTCCTGGGCTTCTGTGAGGTCATTGATTTTATGAGCTTTGCCTGTTCTAGGACTCTACCCTGTGAGGCCTGAGTCATATTCCCTGGAATGTTTGAACTCTTTGAACACTGTTCCTTTCATCTTCTAATAGTAAAGTTTTTAGCATCTGGGAAGTGTCTCTTTCAGCAGGTAGTCATTTCTCTGACACAAGTGGAGAAACATGGCTACCTGGGCAGTGGCTCAGTCAGAGAGAGAAAGAGAGAGAGAGAGAGGTAGGATGTCTGAACCACCCTGTTCTGGGAAGATAGAGCTGGCATTGGGATTCTTTCACTGCCATACTAGCCAACTGAAGGGGACCAGAGTGTCTTAGAGCAAGAGCATGGACATTATTACTGTATTTGTGATTAAAAGGATTGGGATGCCCAGGAGATTCAGGGGGAAAGCTACACAGTCTTGGCAGCAGAAGTATCAGAAGGTTGGCCAAAGAGTTCTCGGTACCTTGGGTCAAAGAAGTAGCAAGTGAAATAAAAGCACTTAATCTTTGATGAAATGACTCAGACTTCCATTATATCACCTTGAATGCTCTTCTAATGAAGATTCAGGAGATGCTGGAGTTTAGAGAGGTCTTTTCAGAACATTTAGCACCTGAAAAAGACTCTGGAGGCCAGCCCCATCTCTCTGGTCCCTCCCCCATCATCCAGCGCAGTTCTGCTGGTATAGGGATATTTGCTGCTTCCTCCCCACTCAGTTTTATTTCTTGCTTAAGTCTATTGCTCTGGATATTAAAGGCCATGTTGAAAAAGAGTTCCCATTGTGTGAGGCTTCTCCTGGGGAAGAAGGGCAAGGGTATTTTTAGAGGCTAATGGTAATGAAGCAAATAACTCTTTACTGAGGTCTACTAGATAGAGACTCTTATTTGATGATACTGCTTTCATAGTTACACACTCAGCAAGACAGAGAGTGGCATTTTTCCTTTCAAAAACATGTTTTCCTGCAAAGTTTATTTTGTGAGTAGGTAATCTATGTAAATGATTAAATGTTCAAATAATATAAGGAGGAGAATAAAGCCCCCACTCCCAGCCCTTAGGCACCCCTCTCCGCCCCACCAGAGGTGATTACTAATAATGGTTTCTCCCAGGGATATTCTGTGCATATATAAGAAGGCAGCTATACGTATTACCCCATTTGTCCATTAGGGATATAATTTATTCAAACAGTTCCCTGTTGATGGGCATCGATTGTTTGCAATCTTTTAGCTACTGCAAAGTTGCAGTGTATGTTAACTACACTGGAATTGAAATAATATAAAGTAAAAACAACAACAAAAAACCCCCCAAATTTTGCAATGAATATCCATTGGGTATATTTCTGTCCCTAGAATTGCTGACCATATGAAGTATTCATTTTAAATCCTGGTAGACTTTTTTTTTTTTTTTTAAGATTTTTATTTATTTATTGGAGAGAGAGAGGTAGCTAGAGCCCACGAGTGGCGGGGGGTGGGCGGAGGGCAGAGGGCGAAGCAGACTCCTCGCCAAGCAGGGAGCCCAATGGAGGGCTTGATCCCAGGACCCTGGATCATGACCTGAGCTGAAGGCAGACACTTAACTGACTGAGCCACCCAGGTGCCCCTAATCCTGATAGACATTTAAAATAAGTAAGTAAAAATAAGTTAAAATAGTAAAATAGCACATTCTATTTCTGTTGGATCAATGTGAAGGAGATTCTGAGCTCTATAGTCTGAGCTCTATAGTCTGAAGGGGAAATTCTATTTATTCCTCATGTGTATAGGTTCTTTGTATCTTTAAGAACTAGTCCATCTCTTATATATCTATGTACATAAGCCTCATGTGGTGGATTTTAAAAAATACTGAACATATTTATGTTTCCCCTGT